GAGGGTCAAGCTGAGTCTTACGTAAGCTTTCCGCTGTCTTTTACTCTTACCAAGTTCTCGAACATACTTCGATATAATGTGTTCTTGGAAACTTGTTTCATTACCCAAGAAGCAAAATGAAAATATTTTATGAAAAAAATTTAGAAAATAAAGAGAAAGTAGCTAGCATTACGGAGAGTAGGCGGAAAATTTAAAGTGAGTGTCACAATTTACCAAAGAAAATAGGTCTATTTTCTGTCTACAAAATGGATCTATTTTTTGTCTAGAAACTTGATATAGGGCTACTTCCTCAAGAAAAAATATTCAAAAACCTGATGGAAAATAGAGAAAAATTGTATATTTTCTTTATCTATTTCTTAGAAATTTAAAATTCAGAAAACAGATAGAAAAAACACACAGAATGTAGACAAAAACATTGTCTGTTTTCCTTGTATTTAGTGTCCGGAACATAGACAGAAATTAGAAGTTTTTTTTCATAATTTCTTACTTCTATTTGATACATCTATTTTCTTTCTATTTTATTTCTATTTTATTTTTCTGTCTAGAAAATAGAAACTTTCTAAATTAGTGCTATACAGAAAACAAAACACCATGCTACTCGGGTTTTTTACTTCCCTAAATTACTTTACTTCATTCCATTTGTATGAATTGGATTCTAATTTTCTAACTACTTAACAATTTCAACTTAAAAGATGCCTTTGACATTTTGTGTCATGAAATATCCAATAAATGTCGAGATGAAAAATGTATCTTTTTTTCAATAAGAAACTTTCAAAATTGTATCGATCATCTAAGAGCAAGCTAAATAAAATCAGGGTGTCTACCGATCCCCAAAAGTCCCCAATGTCCCCGATTATTCCCGATTTTGGACGGGTGTCCCCGATATCCCCCAAAGTCTCCAGTTTTCTTGTTCAGGTCCCCAAAAAATGACAAAAATCGTCCTAAACACCGGCCAACTTTCCCCGTTTTTCCGAATTTTCCGAAGAAAATACACTAAAAGAGTAACGTTCCTTCGTTCGGGAAACGACGCAATTATGCTACATTTATGAGGTAGAGGGACCAAAATTACATTTCAGGTAGGAATTAGCATGTAGGGATTATAATTAGTAGATTAGAATGATTGTTCTTATTATGCCTCGAAGAAAAAATACCTCCATTGGTTAGCGTAGGCAAAATAAAACTTACATTGAAAAAAGAAAAACTGTTGTCTATATGAGAAGTTCTCACTTTGGTGAGTGTAGGCACATTGTTGAAAATAATAATATTTTTTCCCCGTATTGAAGTTGAGATCAAGTTAACTTTTTCTCCACTTTCAAGCGGAATATGCCTACATTCCCATATAACGGCAAAAACTTTTAATGGTTCTTACATAATCTGAAAATGCCTCTGATTGCCTCTCCTTAATAGCCTCTAAGTAGTAATTTCATTCGACTCGATCTGTGAGTCAGTTGACTCGACTTATCTTTATCATTGCAATAGAATAACTTTGGGGAAAATGTAAGCTCTCACTCACCTTTTTCACTGTCCGAAACCGGGGGAGGCTGAGGAATGCGCAAACGTTCTATCTCACATCTATTACGGTCTCTATCCTTGACTGATAATAACTGAAACAAAAAGACACTAGATTAATTACCAAGTATGCTTCGATTTTGGTCCACTTTTCAATGTTACGCCAGTTGCGTCATTCTCAAAAAATAAAAAATGGAGGGGCTTGGAGGACAAGACGGATAAGTGCAGTTTTTGCTTTTTTGAGAAATACGTGTGCATTTAGTTTCAAAATTACATGGAGCCTTATGGCAGATAGAAAATTCAGACTTTCTTTTTGATGCTTATAATTTGGATTTTAGTAGCGAATTTTGCACAGAAAATATTTTAAGACTAGTTTTAGTTGAAATCATTAATGTCTTATTTTTTCCCAAAACTGTACTTATCCCACTTGTCTTCCATGCCCCTATTGCCCCTCGATAGGAGCTAGGCACAATGAGAGTTATTTTAGTAGTATATATACAGAGAAGAATTGGCAACGGCTGGGAATAATATACTTGAGGATTCTTTTCGTAAGACATATGCCTGCTACAGTTACCGTTAATGAAGACAAAAATCAATTAGATGCACGGTTGTAAAATCTATTGTAAAATACACGTTGAAGAAAATTTTGAATGAATCAATTGAACTAAAGCCGACAATTCCGGTGTGAGATCTGTAAAAGCGAGTCGAAGACACTTTCAAGCAAAGAAAGCTGCGCAGACGCTTCGAAGTCCGAAGGAGTTGAAATGATAATAACAGTGGCTAGATCTGTAATTATTACTTCCCAGTGAAAAGTTATTACAATAGCCCGGCCCGTGAACTCCTATCGAACGCCCCCTCCCCATCTCAGGGGACGCGCCTGGACCTTAAGCCCACACACACGTTGGGTCATTTACACACATCCTCTAAATTAAAAAGGGCATCGCGGAATCTTTAGGGGGAGAATAAATCATCGCATTATAAACCTATTCATTACATCTATATGTATTTATCACGTAGAAACGATTCCAATGCAGCTAGCGTGGTAGCTACATGATAATTATTATTGCACACCGCAGTGATCAATGCAGAGACTACAACAGATTTTTTTTCCTCTCAACGCTTTGCATATCAACCAGTGACTTGGATGAGCATTATCTTTCGAAAAAGAAGTAAGTTAAAACTGTTCCGTTATGAATTTTTGCCGCTAGATAGAAATCATAACAACTCATCAGAGATCACGAGAATAGGTAAGTAAAACCAGAATTTTTTTTACTGTTTTCACTTAAAAACAAATTGGACTTCCACAATATTGGATCATCGAACAATCCAATTCGTCTGGTTCGACATATTTGCAGGACAAAATTTTGTCTCATCGTAAACGTTTTGAATTGCATTTATGACTTGTTCAATTATTCTTCTTCTTCATTTATTGACGACTATTGGGCAAGTCCCTGTTTTTCAAGCTCTCAAGTACCGAATACATAAATCACTAACAAGTATAGAAAATTCGCCAAAAATAAAAAAGAAAAACAGCGTTCTAACATTTAATTATCTCTACTGTCCAAGTACATTAACGCAGAGACTTTAACGCTCGTATAAGAATGTATGAAGCATTTTTGTTGAATACTTATCCCGCATTTTTGCAATTCTACATTTTTCTCTCATGAAAATTTGATCTTTGCAATGCGCGCGGTAATATTTTTTAACTAATATGTTTATCTCTACAAATAAGCATTTAAATTTTTATCCTCACAAAATCAAAATATTGAAGCGGAAACATATTGAAATGAGCATCTATTATTTTCATGCATTGATCTATTTTGTTTTGAAAACAAGTTGAGGTGCGTGCACATTGGTCGAATTTAAGGTGTAAGCTCAGTTCATGGTGTTCTTTATAACTTGTTTTAAAATGGGTGTGATCAGGAGAAATATAATTCAAAGTGAGGAAATGTTCTTTTGACGGCATGAAGTGGCATTTCCGATTCGTGTATTTCAGTAGATCAGATTATTCCGTTGTAACTCCTCGATGAACTCATCGATTTAGAAACGTGCTCAATTCACTGGTTGCGAATTTAAAATGAAATTCATCAAATTTCAGACACCCGCCAACTCTCCATTGCGAGAAATTAAAAAAAAAACCCGCGAAGCTTCGTTTTTCATACATTTGCACTGGACTCAACGTATACAACCGCAGAGAAGCCCATAATTTTCTTATTGGGATAAGCTTAAGCAGCATAGTAATTGATTAATTAATAACATATCAGGAATCTCGGATTTGATTCGGTCAATGTTATTTATGGAGAGGCACCTTATCTGAAAATGGGCCGGACGCAATCCTTCCTCCCGCGTGATTTATTTACATTTGTCTCTCGCTATTCAAGTGAGTAACAGTGCTTATCCACTCGTCATGACTCCCCCCTTTCTTTCCTTTAAAATCTTAGCTTGAGCCGCATAAATCCATCATCCGTTTCCCATTCATTTAAAAAATTTCAGGATGCAGGCTGCGTCACAGGATCCTTGATTCTTCTTTGCGTCACTTTGGCCCATTCAACGCATTCGCGTCAGACTGAACGGGTTGTAATACCCATTAATTATAGATATAGATTTTTCGCTTTCATCCCCGTCAATATTGCCCACGCGTTCCTCCTCTATAAACCATATTCTCACCAGTTTTTCCCGATCCATAATGATCCCAAGCGCTTACGTGCTGCGTCGCTGCGTCGAACTCTTTTTCAGATACCTATCTACTTTCGAAAAAAGCCTCTAGTTGTAAGAAAGTAGACTCCCTCTTTATGGATTTAGTCATGACCCATTCGAAACGAGAAAATCACACTTTTGACTCATGAATGGGGACAGGGGGGGTCACGGCGTAGCCGGTTAGTGATCGCTTTTAAGATTTTCTGATCGAACTCAAAATAAGTGTTTCGAAGTTAAAGAGGCAAATGTAATTCACAAATTGATGAGAAATAATATATAATAGTTGTTTTAGCCCTGGAGAACCATACTAAGCCCTTTACAATGTTGCCTTCTATACTATTTCTCGAGCCTGGAACGAAATGGGTGTATATATTTTATCTTTGCACTCGAGTGATCCCCCCCTACCCACACCCATGGGTCAAAAGTGTAATTTCCTCGTTTTGAATGGGCTTCTAGATGCCTCTCTAAGAGCTGGTCTGGTTTTCTTCATTTAAGCGCATTTTAGATCCAAAAAACGCATTTTCGCAGATCAAGCGTTCTTCCGCCCATTTAAAGCAATGAAATTTTGCCCCGTAGTCTTGATCCCTTTGAGCATCAGCTAAAAAAGCTTCAAATTGGCTTAAATTTAATACAGCCAATTATTTTCAAAGATGGCACCGATTGCCACCCGGACTTCGTCAATTTTCCGACATGACGAAAATAAGCCGCACCCTGCGAAGCCCCCCTAGTCTTCCTATGGGGGTATACGGGGGAGGCACAATTTCTCCCGACTTTCGAAAGTCGGGGGAACCCTTTACCCCCCAAGGGAGACGGGGGGGGGGGGTCCGGGACCATGAAATTCGGATTCCTTGGGGTCGATTCCCTATTTAACCCTGCGGTTCCCGACTTCGCACGACGGACACCAACCGAAAAAAATGCCTGGTACGGATGGTCTGGGACACCCTGTACGTGCGTTTGAAGGGCCTTTTTCAAGTAATTCATTGAAGTTCTAAACTTAAAATCATCCTGAGATAGACTAATGAAGAGACACCCAAATGAAAGTCCGAAAATACGAATTCCAAATTTAATTTTGGTGGAAATTCCGAGTAACATTGCTCCTTTTTCGTTTCTTACGATGTGCTTTTTTCACTACCTACCTCGACATGATTCTGTGAAAATTGTATGTCAGCTGGTCCTCTTTTTTAAAAATATAATGCAAGCAGAATGTGGTGACGCATTGCAATCAAGATTGTTTTCAAGCTTGTACCAGCAGCATAATGTTGTCAATATAATGTATATTTTACATTGCCTACACTCTCAACTGTTACGTCCAATTTTACATTACACTCTCAACTAGAGTACCTGTATAGGGAGAGTAGCGACAGATCTGAAACTCCGAAAGTCCATCAGGCCGATGCCTCCGCGAATAAAGTTAGGGCCCAAAAGGGCAGCCAACCTATGAATTTCGAATGTCCAGAGTGATTTACAAATACAATTGTTACGAACCGTCATTTAGAAAGCATGTAATTGGCTTACTTTTTGCATAAATTTACTTATTTTTGCGAAAGAACGCTCATTTATGTACATTCTTAGCCATCTTGGTTAGAATTGAAATCTGTAGGCTGGCAGTATTTTGTGTGTTAGAAGTTGCTCAGAAGGGTGGCTGCACTTTTGGGCCCTAAGCCCTCCATAAACCGATCTGTCGCTACTCTCCCTATACAGGTACTCTACTCTCAACTATTACGTCCAATTTTATATTACACGTGCTCTCAACTGTTTCGTCCGGTTTCACATTACACTCTCAACTGTTACGTCCAATAAACCCAATTGAAATGTGCACAGCAGTATTGATTTGATGCATGCTAAACTTACTTTTGAGCTAAGTGCAGCATCACGAGCTAGGAGAACGGCTAGATTTCTAACTCTTCTGCCGGCTCCCAAGGTCCGCCTAGCTTCTGAGGTAGATTTGGCTTCAGGTCTCAAATGATCATGGACACCTTTTGCCTAATTAAAAAACAAAATAAGAAAAAAGAATAAGTAAAAAAGCGGAAATTAGTCAAATTAAAAATCGAGACTATGATCTAATAAAAACGGAAATTTCGCTTTTCAAGGGAAGAACCTTGAAAGTAAGGGGTTAGCTGTACAGTATTTCTGATTTAAACATTGCCATTGTTTTTTTTTTTTTTTTTTTTTTTTTTTTTTTTTTTNTTTTTTTTTTTTTTTTTTTTTTTTTTTTTTTTTTTTTTTTTTTGCGATGACTCAGAAAAAGGTGACCACACCAGAAGATCTAATGAACATTGAGCTTCTTTGATGCAGTTTTTGACCGATCAGGATTGAAATGCAGGCACTGACTTCAAAGTATTGAATATGGGGAGTAATAATCGTTGAAGCGTTAAAGCGACAACTCTAGTTTTCATTTTTTTCCTATGTCACCTAGTGGAAAGTTCTCAAGTCGGCAAGAGAAAAGAAAATTCAATAAACATTTGCTTGAAGGAATAAACACATGGACTCACATGCGAGTGTAAAGTTGAGTTGGTGCAATCATTGACGTAAATAGAGTAATGAGTAATGAGTAAGTGAATGCAATTAGGGTTATTCGTAATAAAATACCATTATTTTCAATACATAGTACTGATTATTTCGCGGGAGCCAGATTGATTTTGATTGGACCAAGCATGCCATGTAAGAATCTCAGCATCCCGGGTTAAGATGCTAGTGCACTGGAAGATGAGACGTGCCTATTTTCCACGAAGAGCATAACATGGTAGGCGGCTAAAAGATTCATTTTTCAGGGATTTCTCAACAAACAGCAGAGACACGGAGAAATCGTTGGACTCGAAAAATATTACCTTGAATAGTCTTTTTTTTTACCTATTTGTAAAAAGACGAGAGAGGGGGAGGGCGTCAATGCTCCGTCATGATGGTGCATTATTTGTTTCATGAATATTAGGTACACTCGGGGAAATGTTTCGACGTTGATATTTTTTTTTTAAAAAAAGAACAAGATCATTCTGAGTTTCTAAACGGTAGAAATTGATTAGGGTTTTTTTTATTCTGGATACTTATTCGAAACGTGATTTTTGTAATTTACACGTTAAAACTTGATTGATCCTGAATTGGTGCCTACATCTCTTGACCTGCCCACGAATTAAATATTACAGGCATCCCATAATAAATAAAACTAACGTAGACTGTAAAAAAATTGGGTGTATATCTACCTGAAAAAATATTGCATGGTCAGTATGCCTCCAAAAATGTGTCACTGGATATCCGCAATGACCTCTACACGCTAAAATTTCTAATCGACCAGTGCATTGTCGATTCGGGCAAGGCTTCCCTGGTTGAGGAAAAAAAAATACGAAAAAAATAAGTAAATTTAGGCACCTAGAACAAAGATTACTTCTAAGGTAGGTAGGCACCTATGTCAATTGGAAAAAAAGTTGCTTGGATCTAAAGGAGACTATTAAAACATTTGACAAGAAAAGAAAACTCTTGATTCAATAGGATTTTTGTTTGAATAGATATCCAAGCTTCTTAATTTCAGCGGATTTCCTTTTGATTCCGAGTAAAAACCAGTAAAAATCCGATCGAATCAAGAGTATCTTTCCTTATCAAATTTTTAAGTGTCTGGACCCTAGATCCAATCGACTTTTTTCCAGTATAGCGTCAAATGCGACTACCACGCAAACTTTCGGCAACTCGATTCTTGAAAAAAGAGTTGAAAGGCCGATCCTTTGAGGTACCCATCACATATCGTCCCATCTCCNGGGGGGGGGGGGGGGGGGTTTACGGCATGCACCCGGTCCAAAACTTGTTTGGGCAACCTCTCACCCGACGCGACATTCTTGGCACACATGCATAGCACCTAGTACACTGCTCTACTGGGTATTGAGTGCAATGCATATTATTGTAGGAAGTGAAAAATAATGGACATTCCTCTCGCTCTACTCTACCCGCTTCACGACCCGTGGGCTGAGATCCGATTGAGTGGAAATCAAGTGCCGAATCTGATAACTTCGTGTTGGACGATGTAATGAAGTCACGGCTCCAACTATCCGCCGCGCCGTGCCGCGGCCGCGGCCGCGTCGTCCTAGACGCACCATAACATCACGTGAGCGATGGGTTCGGGACCTCGGTGACGCGCGGCCACGTCATGCTGGGTCTTTGTGCGCATCCAGTTCCGTGACGTACGCAGTGGAACCGCCGCGCGCCGCCCCAGTGTAATTCGAAACGGGGCTTCGACCAGCATCAGGACACCACCGCCACGCTCCCGTTCTGAGAAAAAATCCCGCATCAACATTCAGACGATACGGAATTTCTCCCCAAATAGGTAAACCCAATTTCCTCGAGTGTTTTTCTTTGAATTTTTGACGAAATTTAATGAAAAGTCAGATAATTCTAAGTAGAGTACCTTTATAGACAGAGTATGGTCATTCGTATCTTTTTACTACAGGAAAACTGTTCCGCTTTTTGATTGGTCAACGAGTTTTTGGACTTCATGATGCTCTTACGGCCGTAAATAAACAAACCAGATGGCGGCTCACCGTGACATTGATAGGAAGGTAAAATTTTACAAAAATTTCAATTACACTGCAGCAACAATTTAAATTTTCATATCTACGAATAACACATAAGAAACACATGAAAACATTGTTAAATCGCCTTTCATTCTCATCACAGGAGGATGTAAGATGTGCATAACCTCAAATTTGCTTGCTGATGACAGTCATCTTGTTTGTTTATTTACGGCCGTAAGAACATCGTGTCAGCCTTTTTTCACGCGAGCAATGAAAAACCGGAACAGAAATGGCCATACTCTGTCTATAAAGGTACTCTAATTCTAAGGGGGTAATCATCCATAACTTTTTTCAAGATCTTTCATGAACTCGTAAGAATGCAGGCTTGAGTTATAATTCTCCTTCAGATGGATGACTATGCAAGTTGAGCAGCTCAGGTGTTCAAATAGTTATATCTCATTTGTGACTCCGAAAGCACGATTTTTGCTTTCAATCATTATTTTCTGTGTCCATGTGACAGGAAACGTTGGGTTAACGTAGCAGGATTTCGGCAGATGAAAAGTCCAACACGGCGAAAAAAAGAATCCTTGCTTTTACAATACAAAAATGCACAAACTTGGGAGTGTCGTCGATCTTGGCACCGAGGTGCGTATACCTCTGTTATAGAGCCTCTGTGATAACCTCACTTTTTGGTGTCACAAAATGGGGGTCTTGGTATTTTGATTTTTATAATTTTGTATAAATATATATCTTTGTTTCCTGGTCGAGGAGGGGGTTAAACCACCCTGGAACGTCGAGACTTTAAGTTTTGTTGATTTTTAGCCCGGTTATCCCTCAGAGGCGTAACTAGCAATCTTCGCGTGCCCCCGCCGATCTGAGACTGCGCCTTTTTCATATCAGAAGTTTTGAGTAGCGCACCCTCCCCCCTCTCCCCCTGCCCTTCTAGTCATTCAGATCTGAATAAATGGGAGAAAATCAAGGTATCGCAATGAGAATAGAAAGAAAAGTGAAGAGGAAATTCAAGTCCCAAAAAAGTATGAAAAAATGTGAAACTTGCATGAAATTTTTGCATAATCACAATTTTTTTTTCTCGTTGTACCTCTTCTCCTTGCTTTCCTCTTTCTTCATCTTTTCTGCCTCTCTCTCTCTCTCTCTCTCCCCCTCTCTCTCCCCCTCTCTCCCCCTCTTTCTTCTTTCTTTCTTTTTCTTTTTCTCCTTCTTTTTCCCGTTTTCTTTTCCCAAAATTTTGCGCCCCTCGTATCGCTGCGCCCCCCCGCCCGGCGGTGGCGGCAGGTATGGTAGTTACGCCACTGTATATCCCTGCCAAAAGTGGTGAGTACAAATGGAGTAGAAATAAGCAAAGTCATATGAATGGACGCGTACGTAGGGGACGCCCAGTGAGAGGTTGGCGACAGGGGGTGTTAAATGAGATAAGAGATTGTCAACTCCCTGATGACCTGTGGGAAGACCGAGCTTTGTGGCGATTAGGCGTCGCACAGCGCCAAAGAGCGCTATAAAAGCGACTCACATATATATATATATATATATATGAATGGAATTTCACTTTTAATTTAACTCAGCAGTATTTAACTCTTAAGCAGAATTTAACTATTATGAGCAGAATTTAACTCCAATGAGCAGAATTTCTCTTTCCAGTTTTCGCCAACTTCTATGACTACCCTAGCGTAAATATTACCTTGCGGTGAGCTAACCATCACCTTGCGGCAAGGTATCGGCCTATCCATCCTCTCCGAGCCCTATCCGAGCCCTCGCCGAGCCAGTTCAAGGAACTCGACGACCGGGATTAAAACCGTATGACAACACTGTAGACCCAAATCCAGACGCAGGGCTTGAAAAAGGCGACATTGCATAGGGAAATACCCCGTGTTGGGTACGATTTTCGTCTCCAGCGTTGCCATGCATAATTATTCCCAGTCGTTAAGTTCCACGAACTGACCCGGCGAGGGCTCGGATAGGGCTCGGTGAGGGTGGATAGGCCGATACCTTGCCGCAAGGTGATGGTTAGCTCACCGCAAGGTAATATTTACGCTAGGGAGAGATTCCAACTCATATGAATAGAGATTTCAACTCCCATGAGTTCAGCGTTGAATTTACCGCGTCCGATATCTCAGAAACTAGTCACCGCATCAAAAAACCATAAGAACAAAAAGTTTTTATTTTTCAAATTAACATCCCTTGTCGGCGTCTCCTGGTCAGAAACGGCACTTCTGAAAAATGAAAAAAATTGAATTCATATGAGTTGAACTTTTCTACTCTTATGAGTAGAATTTTTTCTCATATGAGTAGGATTTCTTTTATTTATACTTGAAGTCTCATCGCTTTTTTTTTCAAAAAACGGTGAAAGAAGCCGGAAAAGTCTTCAAAAAGCGCCAAGAAAATTAGATACAAAAAAAAGGCCAAATTCCACTTTGCCCGACTTAAGTCGGGCAAAGTGGAATTCGAGACACCGCCCCTTGATGTTGTATTAATAATTAAAAGGAGGAGCCGATTCAGTTAGATTTTGGTTTTGAAATCGAAACTAGAGCAATTACTGATTAGGTAAGATTCGTGGATTTATTAATTTGACACTTCTAAATACGAATAAGCTCTCACGAACGCGGGCCAAATCTGGCGAGGGCCGGCTAGTTACTTACGTGATTCGTTGCATAAAAACAGTTTCTAATGGATAAGTACCCTCTCTAGTTTCGATTTCAAGCACCACAGGATGAATACATTTTTTAAAATGACCATATTCCACTGTACCCGCCCATTCCACTTTGCCCGTGGCCCCATAGGTTTTCATGGGCGTGAAAATTTGCAGAGGACCGGTTTCCTTTTGCCGTCATTTTTTATTGGTTATGTTTTTGTTTTTTGCATAGAAACAGTTTCTAGTAGATGGGTACCCTCTCTAGTTTCAATTTCAACCAACAGAGTCGCAATAGGACTGACAGATTTTTTTTAAAGGCCAAATTATACTCTCCACGTTGCCCGCCTCTCCCCTAACTTACGGTGGATGCTTTATTATGCTTATTTTAATTTTTTTTGAGTAGGTGAGAGAAGAGAGATTTTTCCTATGTACGAACCTTGTTGTTTTTTGCGGGCCTTGTCGCAGATGGCAGGCCTTAGGTGAACGGAGTCTCCGTTGGGGAGAACGCAACGTCGGGAGCAAACGAGAACGCCCAGGCAGGACTTCTTGAGAATCTGCGCGTTGTGGTTGTTGGTGTTGCGCATGGCCCAGCCGGACGCATGCCGCCGCGCTTCTTCGCAGTTGGCCCGGTACACCAGCCGACAGTGACCGTCCGCCCACTCCTCCCACCCATTGTACTCCACCACCTGAATCACAATCAAACCAAAAACCCGGGCCCCCTCAAATTAATTCCTCTCTATCCCACACAAATCAAACAAATATCCTTTTTCCTCTTCATTTTCTTTTTGCCTCACTAAACACAAAAACAAAAAGAGATTAAGCCCAAGCCCCAATTCCATCGAAATCAATTGATATATCCAAGAGCGATCGATAGATCGATATCCGATTTACTCTAATTTACTCATTTTTAATTGCATGTCGAAATAAGTCGACAGACGTTCAATCCTAGTTTGTATTCATTCTGAGCTTTTAAGAAATTACTTTTTTTTCATAGGAATAAAAGCAAATTATTCTATTGCTTATATCAAAGTTCCGACAATGAGTAATGTTTAAGTACGTGGTAGTAGTATTAGAATAATGTTATTTTTATACAAGGTGCCGTAACACCGGAAGCCTTATACATTGCAGGCCCGTGTCATTTTTATTTCTAAAACAGAATTTAACATAATGAATGTGCATATTACATATATTTTTTTATGTAATTTGTCCCTTACATTTTGTCATGCTTATATTGTTAGCCAAAATGGCTATTTCGAAGCAAGATTCTGTCAGAAAAAAGACGTGAAGAGCTTTGTAAAGTTCCAATACTCGAGGCACACCTTACCCTTGGGATAGTAGAGTCATTTATGTCCCAATCAGTATGTCGAGGGATTCCAGTTTTGCAATGAGGAGGTGTCCCACTAAGAACAGCAGGAACTCCCGCTTCCCTTCTGAAAAAAGGTCAAAACATGAAAAATTATAGTCAGGCTGTCCTTAACATTTTAATATGCAGTAATATAATTACACTTAACATACGCATATAAATTGTAGACGGGAAATATCTTATTTTTCTTCGATTTCTCTGAATATTTATGATTAGAAAACGATAATTTTCAAATATTCCACACTTACTCAATATGTATATAGTCATACAATACTTTTCAGACATAAAAAGTCAGTTTAACTTCCATTTTTACCTCGTATGTACAATGTTTGGGGCAGGACACGGAAAAAGAAAGTGTCAAGGGTTATCGCCAAAAATTGTGGCACCACCCCCAATTTGATGGATAATATGAGCATTTTCAATAAATTATGGTAGTGCCCAACTCAAGTTGGGGAAGTTGGTTTAGGTTCGTAACCTAATTTTTAGGGTATTACTGAAATTAGTGAAATTAATTGGAAATGCCGAAATTATCCAACAACCCCTATTTCTTTTTTTCAGTGAAAATAATACTTCCTCCAAGGCGGTTTCGTGGACAAACACGTCTACTCTAGTCTTTTTCTTCGAAGAGTCCAAGAGTCTGTTCTATCTATGTACCTAATCGATTTTCTTTTCAGATAGAACAATCAGCTCTCCTAAAATAACTGGTTACAAGAAATCGACGATTTTCAAGAGGTAGGTAGATTTGGCGACTTACTATCAAGGTCGAATTATATTAGAGTAGAACAATGCAACAGGTAGATAAGTGGTAGTACTGGACAGCACAATACATTTTATAGAACATTTTGCTCATATGAGCTTTTTCCCTCTGTATCGAGATTATCAGCTTAATGCTGAAAGAGGTGTGTGAAAAAACGGCCAAAAATGCCTCAAGGCATTTTCGAATTTTGATCACTTGGGGTGATACAGTAGCTTCCCAGACGCCCAAAACCGGTCGCTGTTTTGCTTAGAAGCGCCGGGTTGCGACGTTGCCATTTTTTAAAGTGGAAACCTTTAAAAATTCATATCTCCGCCGCATCTCAACCGATTTCAATTAATTTTTTTTGAAAATGTTCCTTTTAAATAGAGCTTCCTATTAATGTATAGTTTCCTGGGTTTACTCGGCTTTAAGTGGCACTTACGCGGTTTTAGCACTTCTTGATAGACACAAAAATGTAGTTTTTATTTTACCACGATCGTGGAATCGACGAAATCTAAACAAAAACCAGTCTAAATGAAAGTTCAGATTCTCACCTTTCTAACGAGCACAAGATCATCCCGGGGAAACGTTTAGTTTCCGAGATATGACCGCTCAAAGTTGGTCACATGCGCTTTTGCGCAATGTGAATGCGGCTTATCACTAAGTCATTCGCGAACTGGGGGTCCCTTATGTTCAATTTACGTTGAAATAATTACACAGAGCAGTAAGGTGTACAACACGAGCCGTATTTTCACCTTCGGCTGCTGATGTGCGACGTTGCCATTTTTTTAAGTGAAAACTCTTAAAAATGCATAACTCCGCTGCATTTCAACCGATTTCAATGAACTTTTTTTTTAAAATGTTCCTCTTAAATAGAGCTCTCTAACGGTATTTAGGTCTTTGGATTTTATTGACCTCAAGGCGGCACTTAGGTTGTTTATATGGTTCTTTGCAGAGATTTTTCATATAGAAAATAGTGTTGCTATTTTTTATTTTTTATTTTTTTTTTCCGCGGGTTGTGGGAGGGTTTGAAATGGCAAAATTTAAAAGGAAGAACTTTGAAAAAAGGGATTCTTTTAATCACTATTCTTACGTGTACAAATATTGAAAGCGACGCTCTCATTGTACAAGGGAAGTTGGTGTTGTTAATTTACCAAGATTTTTGCATTATATTTTAAGCGATGGTGATCTTCCGATCTAGTTTGAATGTTAAAAAAAATCGGGGGAAATACAGACCCCCTTCCGAAAAAAAGAAGAAAAAAATAGCAACTCAATTATTTATATGAAAAATCTCTGCAAAAAACCATATAAACGACCTAAGTGCCGCCCTGAAGTCAATAAAATCCAGAGACCTAAATACCGTTAGAGAGCTCTATTTAAGAGGAACATTTTAAAAAAAAAGTTCATTGAAATCGGTTGAAATGCAGCGGAGTTATGCATTTTTAAGAGTTTTCACTTAAAAAAATGGCAACGTCGCACATCAGCAGCCGAAGGTGAAAATACGGCTCGTGTTGTACACCTTACTGCTCTGTGTAATTATTTCAACGTAAATTGAACATAAGGGACCCCCAGTTCGCGAATGACTTAGTGATAAGCCGCATTCACATTGCGCAAAAGCGCATGTGACCAACTTTGAGCGGTCATATCTCGGAAACTAAACGTTTCCCCGGGATGATCTTGTGCTCGTTAGAAAGGTGAGAATCTGAACTTTCATTTAGACTGGTTTTTGTTTAGATTTCGTCGATTCCACGATCGTGGTAAAATAAAAACTACATTTTTGTGTCTATCAAGAAGTGCTAAAACCGCGTAAGTGCCACTTAAAGCCGAGTAAACCCAGGAAACTATACATTAATAGGAAGCTCTATTTAAAAGGAACATTTTCAAAAAAAGTTAATTGAAATCGGTTGAGATGCGGCGGAGATATGAATTTTTAAAGGTTTCCACTTTAAAAAATGGCAACGTCGCAACCCGGCGCTTCTAAGCAAAACAGCGACCGGTTTTGGGCGTCTGGGAAGCTACTGTATCACCCCAAGTGATCAAAATTCAAAAATGCCTTGAGGCATTTTTGGCCGTTTTTTCACACACCTCTTTGTTAACGCACGTCGGCCAAAAAACTCCAACATACAAAAGCCATAGAGCGATGCCTAAACAGCAATAGCCATTTTTTTTACCTATTTACACTTCTACTCTTCGGTGAAATAACCCCCAACTAAACAGCAAAAAAGGAAAGAAGAACAATTGCACACATCCGATCACAATTTCCGACTATCACAAGAAACAACAATTAAGGGTACCTAATCCTTATTTTTGACTTCTGCGATATTCTAAGGTCGGAACCCTGCAATCGGTTCCTTTTTAGGTGGAAATAACGGGGGAAAAAAGAAATAAAATTATTACTTTCTCGCTACCCTAGGGTAGAGAGGAAGTATTGTCATCCGCTAAGGGGGAAAAAAAAAGTTGAAATTTCATCATTTCTGGACGTTTTAAGGTCCCAGGAGTCAAAATAACTATTCTTGAAAAAATAAGTGTCCGTCCGTCCGATGTCCCCCAAATCTGTGTTAAGCGATATCTCAGAATCTATCTGTTCGATTTCATTCAAAATTCTCACAGAACACCATATCTATGATCTCCTTATGCACGTCAAACAATTTTGGGGTACGCTAAAATTTGGGGGGGGGGGCTAGGGTCAAATTGGGTTAAAGGTCCATTTTCAGCAAAATAACACGGAAAGCTCATTTTGAGGGACTGTAAATTTTGAAAAATGCCTTTAATTCTTTAAAAGTGGGCATCAAGCACATCACCTGGGTCATTAATTTGAGTTCCTAAAAGATCTTTGGACTAAACTCAAAACTGAAGGGATAACGAGGCCTAAAAGTAGGGCACTTTGCTCCGCGACATGACACAAACAGCTCATTTTCAAGGACTGTAAATTTAAAAAAAAAATGCCTTTAATTCTTCGAAAGTTGGCATAAGTGCACCACCTGGTTCATTAATTTAAGTTCCTTATGAGGTCTTTGGACTAAACTAAAAATTGAAGGGTTACGCGTCATATAGCGAGGAGAGCACTTTACCCATGTCGCGCGCAATGGCGCCAAAGTTGAGGCCCGTGAAAATATGATTTTCAGCAAATCGGGCTTTTACGGTATTTCGCCCTGAACTTTGGGCATGCATTATTGCATTTAGACGAATAAAAATTTGCACCAGTTAACATTTTTTAGTGCTCTTTCACGTAAAATCATCAAAGGGCTAAAAACTGTGCAAATGCATGTTTCAAACCCAGCATGGTTCGGACCAAAAATAATAGTTTAGGTCCCAGGGATAGATCATTCAGATTCCAACATTTGCTTGCTGTGTGCGTTACGTAATTATTCTCATCAGATAATATCCCTTAACAACGCGTGAATTTTCTGTCTCTGGGACCAAAACAATTATTTTTTGTCAAAACTAATGCTATTATAGGTTGACTATCTTCGGTTCGTACGACGCCAGAAATATTTCTCCGAAAATTAAAAAAGAAATCCATTTTCACAGAAATGCATATTAAATATGCGGCAATACAGCGTTTTCGGTCAAGTTTCCGAATTTTTAAAAAATACTTCCGCGGTCTGCGCGCTTAAATGTGTAATTTTTATCAAAAATAGTCTATTAGAAGTCAACTACCTTAAAGTTTCACGACGATAGAATATTCTTTCAATCTTTAAAAAATTAGTCAACTCGCTAATTACCCATCTGCGCCAGAAGAGTGTTTTCAGCCAAGTTTCCGAATTTTTAAAAAATACTCTCGTGTCTCGCACGCCAAAATGTTTAATTTATTTCAAAAGCAGAGTGTTAGGAGGCTACTGTTTCAAATTTTCGAGGCTCTATCGTAACTGCTTCGTCAATAAAAAAATTATCAAATCGTCAAAAATCTCAATCATCGGGATTGCAAATTTATCAAAAATGTGCGATGCGGCAGCACTTTAACCCATAAATCTGAAACTTGGCCAAAAGTGTTTTCTAACCAAATGGAACACTTTTTCAACCAGAAAACGTAACTTTTTGAGGGTCGAACTTTTATAAGGACACCTTAATCATCACGTTTTAGCAGACACTGCCTATAAAACGTGACTCCTGACCAGGGCCCGAAAAATCGTGTTTTTCCGTAACTGTGGGGGTTTAAAACATGCATTGCCACAGTTTTTAGCCCAAATTTGATGATTTTACGTGAAAGAACATAAACAAATGTATATTAGTGCAAATTTTTATTCGTCTACATGCAATAACGCGTGCCCAAAGTTCAGAGCGAAATACCGTAAAAGCCCGATTTGCTGAAAACCGTATTTTCGCGGACC